TTAAAGGTTTAAGTCTTTAGAAAGTCATTATAATGTCATATATTTTTATTTTCATATTTTGTATACCTTTAATGAAAATAAGCTTATAAAATGCTTTAAAACATTGTTATACTTTTATATGCATGTATTAATGTAAAAGAACCATTTTTGTAATGAAAACATCTAAGTTTTGTACTAAAAATGAACTCAGCCTGAGAGTTCATTCAAAGGTGAAAGGAGTCTAGATAGACAGCCAAAAGAAAATGAACAGAAATATAAATCAACATAATGAGCAGTGCACCTGCATTGTAGGAATTGAGACACATCCAAGTAACATGCTGTTTGTCAAATATGTGATTGGTGACTGACCAGACAAAGAAATCTGAACTGAGCATGTCTAAATGATGTCAATGATGATGTAAAGTGAGGAAGAGCAAGAAGAGCATATAAGTACGGGCTACGGACCTACTGTCGTCCATGGTGGTGCTAGGACTCTGTCAACATGTCACGGCCCCCACACATCAGGCCGGTCACATGCTCAATCTGATTTTCGCGGCTGGGGTGAGTGTGGACCGGATTACTGCGATGGCAGTGCCATGGTCGGACCACCAGGCCCAGAAGGCCCATCTGAAAGTTCCACCCCGCCCCTGCTTAGGCGGCGAATGGATTTTTGCTCACCCGCACTGCCAAATGGACCCTATGCGGCTCCAGATGGCATTGCGGGATCCAAAGCCCCTTGGCGGCTCATTGGATGAGCTAGTGGAGGATTGGCATGACCGGCTCTCCACAGCCATTGACGAGATCCTCTGGAGACACACAGCTTCTCCAAACTCATATTAGGAGGGCGCCCTGGTATACTCAGGAGTTGCGCTAGCTGAAGCGAGAGCTGAGATGACTAGAGAGACGGTGGCATCGCGCTCGCAACAAGGCTTCAAGAATATCCTATAGGATGTTTATGAGATCCTATGAGATGGCAGTGAAGGCCGCAAAGAGAGATTTCGATGCAACCATGATTGCATTTGCTAGCTCACGCCCGGCACAATTATTTAGTACAATTTGGTCGCTGACAGGGCAGGCAAAATGCTAGGGAATTGGACATTGGCGCTCCGCCATGACGTCCTCACCACATTTGAAACAGTGAGTGAACTTGAGGCCCCTTGCACACCTTTGGTGCCGTGTTTAGTGAGTTTTAGCACACTTGGCCTGGAAGAAGTTGAGAGATTGCTCGTATCTGTGCGCCCAACCACATGCGATCTTGATCCGTGCCCCTCTTGGCTCATTAAAATGGGCCATGAGGGGTTTCAAGGTGCCCTGCGGGAGATTGTCAACAAGTCCCTTTTGGAGGGACGGTTCCCTGGCGCACTCAAGAAGTGATGGTCCACCCTCTCTTGAAAAAACCATCTTTGGACCCGGCCGAATTGGCCAACTATCAGCCAGTGTCCAATTTGCCCTATTTGGGCAAACGTATTGAGAGAGCGGTGGCGATACAGCTACAGGGCTTTCTGGATGACGCTTCTGTCCTCGATCCCTTCCAGTCTGGCTTTCGCCCTGGTCATGGGACAGAGACGGTACTGGTTGCTCTGACTGACGACCTCCATAGGCATCTGGATCGTAGCGGCACTGTTATTGTTAGATCTATCAGCCGCGTTCGATACGGTCGACCATCAGTTGCTAGCCCACCGCCTCGCCGACGCGGGGATTCAGTGGCTTCCCCTTCAATGGTTGGCCTCTTTTCTCCAAGGTTGGGGACAAAGGGTGGCGATAGGGGATCAGCGGTCCCAGAGGTGGCCTCTTGAATGTGGGTTACCTCAGGGGGCAGTGCTATCCCTGATGTTGTTCAACATCTACATGCGCCCCCTTGCCTAGATTGCCCGGAGTTGTGGGCTTCAGTGTCATCAATATGCAGATGACACCCAGCTTTATCTGATGTTGGGTGGCCGATCGGACTCCACCCCAGATGACCTTCATCGGGCGTTACAGGCCGTGGCTGGTTGGCTCAGACTGAGTCGGCTGAAACTAAACCCAGCAAAGACGGAGATCCTGGGTCTGAGTCGGATTGGTTCAGGGCTGGGGTTCCCTCTCCCGGCCTTCGACGGGGCGCCTGAGGTTAGGAGTTTGGGTGTGCTCCTGGACCCCTCTTTAACGATGGAGGCCCAGGTAGCAGCCACTGCCAAGTCGGTTTTTTACCACCTTCGGCTGGCGCAGCAGTTGGTCCCCTTCCTCGACCATGATGACCTGGCCACAGTGATCCATGCGACGGTCACCTCAAGGTTAAACTACTGTAACACTCTCTACATGGGGCTGCCTTTGTCGCAAATTTGGAAGCTGCAGCTAGTGCAGAATGCTGCAGCCAGGCTGTTGATGGGTCTCCCTAGACGGAATCACATCCAGCCTGTGCTGAAAGTGCTGCACTGGCTGCCAATGGCGTACCAGATTCGCTTCAAAGTGCTGGTTCTTACCTTTAAAGCCCTATATGGCCAGGGTCCGGCCTACCTAAGGGACCGCCTTTTCCCGCATGTTTCCCCAAGGGCACTACAATCGGGGACCCAAAATCTCCTGGATATTCCAGGCCCCAGGAACATCAAACTTGCTGTGACCAGGGCCAGGGCGTTTTCGGTGGTGGCTCCTACCTGGTGGAATGAGCTCCCAGATGAGATCCTGGCCCCGCGGGACCTTGGGCAGTTCTGCAGGGCCTGTAAAACAGAGCTCTTCTGCCAGGCTTTCGAGTAGGAGCCGCCACCACCATTATTCCACCAATGCATTTTCCATCACCGCACCCTTACCACCGCTGGCTCGGATACCATCGGGGGTGCGAGACGTACCTGGCGGATGATAGGGTTGTGGGGACATATGGTTGCTGTATTGTTATAACAGCTGCAGAACACCATCTTGATTTTATGAATTGGAGTAAGTAGTGGAGCACCGATATTTTATTAATTGTATTGTTGTATATTGTATTGTACTTTATACTGTTTTTATTGTTTTTATTAGGCATTTATGCCCTTGTTAGCCACCCTGAGCCTTCGGGGAGGGCGGGATACAAATCTAAAGAATAAATAAAGTAAGCTCCTGGTTGTAACACATTAAACATCTAGTAGCTGTGAGGTGTTCCTTTATTTGAATAAATTGTTTTGTTACCCTTTACTGCCTGGATAAATTGTTTTACTGTGTGGTTTATTGGCTAGCCACACAAGTCAAAGAACCTTAGCACCCTCAGGGCATTGGCATCACTTATGTACTTTTGAACTATCTGTCCATTTCTTGAAGGCAAACCAGCAGTCAATGAAAACAGACCCTCCCTGCCTTTACTACAGCTAAAAGACTCATATTACAACACTGGAGAAATAAATGCCCACCTCTGGTAAAGCAATGGATTGATGACCTTAGAACTCTTTCAGTGTTTGAATATAAGGCATACAGACAACAATTGCATATGGATTTATTTTTAGATATTTGGAAATCTTTTATAGAAATTTATGTGTAAATCTGCCACAGATATCCACAACTGGCAATATATGTCTGCCTGTTTTTCTATCCTTTAAAAGAAGATAATGCCATATTCTGCCTGTAGTGTTTCAGTGATGTGGTTCACTAAGAGCTGCCAGCTCCCAGTTCAAAAATTCTTGGAGATTTGGGGTTCAATCTGGAGAGAGAGGCTTTTTGGGAAGGGTTAGGTTAGGGCATCGCTGGGGCATAATGTCACAGAGTTCACCTTCCAAAACTGCCATTTTCTCCAGAGGAACTGATCTCTGTGATTCTGGAAGATCTCCAGGCCCCATCTGGAGGTTAGCAAACCTAGGTTCAGTTATTACATTGTAAATATACATATGCCTGAGCATTCAAGAGGCTAAACCAATAACTGCAAAGAGGTAGCCATGTTAGTTTGCTGTAGCAAAATAAAGCAAAAGTCCAAAAGCATCTTAAAGACAAACAACCTGTATTTCAGTATGAGCTTTTGTAAGTCACAGCCCACTTTTTCAGGCTTCATTACAAAGTAAATATTTACTACAAATGAACGGAGGGGTTCATGTTTGTGTGGTACATCTTATTTCCACCTTTAAGGAACTCGAGGTGTCATATAAGTTTTTCTCCTCTGCCACTTTATCCTCAAAACTACCCTGTAATGTAGGTTATGCTCTGAGTGATTGGTGCAAGGCGGTTACCACTGAAAATCATGGCTGAGTGGGAATTTGATCCTACTTTTTACTGGGCCCAAGCCCTAACTACACCACACTGACTTTCAACAGTGATAAAATGTAAATTCTAGTTGTACTTATTGTGAGAGATGGCTAGGTACACTTCAGTTAAATTTATTTTTATTTGTAAGAAGTACCTCTTAAGCAATTGTTCTATTTCCCCCCTTAGTCTGTTGGTGTTTGTTTGTTTTTAATAACATGTCCTTAATATTCTTCCTTAATACATATTTGCCACAAGGCTGCCTAGATGCTTATGTGTCCTGTCCATTCCCATCTGAATTGCAGTGTGAACTGAAGCAGAATTAAACTTCTTCATTACAGAGGTCCTATTTGTGTGAACATGCTGCAGACAACATTGTCTTGAGATCATGCTGTTTGTGGTCACTTTGAGAAACCAATAAGAAAATTAAAATGCATCACCTGAGAAATTCACTACTGATATTTTCCATGCATTTGCCTTGAGCCTCTCTAATGATTGCACCTCTTAAATGTACTGAATCTTCTCAGCACAGTGATAGCAAATGCTGGCTTGTGCGGCTTTTGAAAAATATGCTTCATTGATTGCCCATGAGATATAATAGCCGGAAAAGATTCCCTTAAAAAAACCATAAGCGTTGAAGTAGGCAGCTCAGTTCTGTCTTGGGCACAGTGCATCAGTGAAACGGGTACAGTGCAATCATAACTAATCAGTATCCTTTCCTCTCTCAGTGGAAGAACGGAAAAGGCAAAAATGAGCCAACTCCAAGCAGGGTTGCCAGCCTCCAGGTGGGGCCTGGGGATCTCCCACTTTTACAGCTAAACTCCAGCTGACAGAGATCAGCTCCCCTGGAGAAAATGGCTACTGCAGGCTGTGGAAGGTCAGTAGTTCAGCAGTTCAAGACCCGGGTGCCGCATGATGGGGTGAGCTCCCATCTCTAGTTCCAGCTCCTGCCAACCTAGCAGTTCGAAAGCAAGAAATTGCAAGTAGATAAATAGGTACCACTTCGGTGGGAAGGTAACAGCGTTCCGTGCGCCTCGGTGTTTAGTCATGCCGGCCACATGACCACGGAAACGTCTTCGGACAGCGCTGGCTCTTCGGCTTTGAAACGGAGATGAGCACCGCAACCCTAGAGTCGGATTCGACTGGCTTTCAAGCAAGGGGACCTTTACCTTTAATAGGGGAATAATTAACTCTAGGGATCACTATTTGCCATCTTTTTTTAATGTACTTTAATCTGTTTGATTGTTTTGTTTGATTACTGTTTTTAATAATATGTACATCGCCCAGAGTCCTACGATAGTAGGGATAGGGCGATTCATGCATCATCATCATCATCATCATCATCATCATCATCAATAATAATAATAATAATAATAATAATAATAATAATAATATAATTTCTAGTTGTCTAAGTATGGATAGTTGCCCCAATATAAGTAAATGAGATCTGCATACGCAAGTAGTGCAGATGCACTGAAGATGATGAGATGATCAGAAGCAGGTGGAGATGGATGTCCTCTCTTAGGGTCACAAGACACACAAATGCTTGTATTGTTCAGAAAGACTAAAGAAATACATTAAGTGTACATGTGGATGCAAATTCCAGTAGGATTTTTTTTTACTTTGAACAAAAGGATCTTGTTGCCATGCCTTATGCATTCTTTGAAGGCAGCACTCAGTTTTTAAAGTGGTTTACTATGAAACATTTTCTATCCAAGACCATTGAAAGCACACAGAGCACAACTAAAGCTGGGTAATGTCAACAGCTTCAATCCAAAGAACTCTTTTATATGCTCTCTGTACAGGGGTCATTTCGTAGAAAAAGAGGTGCAGGAGCTCATTAGCATAACTCATTAGCATAACTTATTTGCATATGCCACACCCCCTGACATCACCAGAAGTGTGTCAGAAGGCAACACCCACTGCTCAGGCTCCACTGGACTGTTTTGGATTGCTAGCTGGGGGGGGGATGTGCAGATCTGCCCTCGCAGAAGGGGGAGAGCTTGTACCTGAATAAAACTTGGTCTTAAAGGTGCCACTGGACTTTTTTGGACCGGGGAGTGCAGGGGGGGGCTCTGCAACTTACCTGGCTGCTTCTTGCTCTGACTGAGGGCTGCTGGGGGCAGGGGGTGGGGCTTGTTGCATGTGCCCACCCCCTGGGCTCTTTACTGCCGAAGCTCCGCTCCTGAGTGCTCCTGCAGGAAATGACCCCTGTGTCTGTATCTTGTGATTTTTTTTTTAATTCCCCTGCCACAGCACAAACAGGGAATGCTGAGAAACATAAACGGACATCACCTTAGCCATGCAAGACTAGCTGTATGGTTTGCTGGGTCCTAAAATATTCTTTGTATTCTAGAAGACAAGACTGAAATCGTATGCACATTTATTCTGGAACTAGTCCCACTAGAGTTGGGAAGCCTTTCTGTGGAACAAACATGCCTATTATCAGTCTGCAGAAGTACTTTAACAATGAGTAATAATAATGGTGTGTGCTGGTCTATCTGCCTTTTCGAAGTACATAGTAATGCTGTTTAATATCAAAATTGTTGTGTGAACATGCCTTTTCTAATCATTTTCTCCCTCTTTCAGACAGATCAGATAATGTTATGGAATCAAGCAAAAGATACAGCCACCGAGACAATATGGGCACCTGAGGGCATGATCTTCCTAGCTGATGATACGTTACAACTTTTCAAGCCAAAAGAAGTATGACATTATGGTCACCAGCTGGCTTTGGAAACATGGATAGGAAGATGATGAACCTTTTAAAAATCCGTATTGTATTTATATAGCACAGGTTTTGCAAGTTGGAGAGGGAAAACAATACCAATCAGTCTGGTGATCCAGCCATGGGAGACAACTCAAGTTTTTGGGACAGTCTGATATATGCACATCCTGTCTGTGTAAACTGGAAGTCAGAAGCAGAAGGCTCTATCTACCACTTAGCTAGCATTTTGTTTGTTGTTGGATACATGGGCGGAAGTGGGTTTTTTGGCCTGCTCTATGTCTTCTGTTTGCTTGGACTCGGTTTCCTGTGCTCTTCTGTCTGGGCATGGCTGGATGTCTGTGCAGCTGATATCTTCTCTTGGAATTTCATACTGTTTGTGATATGCTTCATACAGTTTATTTATGTAGCCTACCAAGTTCGGAGTGTTGCCTTTGACAGAGAATTCCAGGAGCTTTATAATGCTCTGTTCCAGCCCCTGGGGATTTCGCTGACTGTCTTTAGAAAAATTGTCCGCTGCTGTGATGAAGAAATTGTTACACTGGAGAAGGAACACTGTTATGCTATGCAGGGCAAAACACCGATTGATAAGCTCTCCTTGCTTGTATCAGGAAGGTTTGTATTATGCTTATTCTTTACTATCTCCTGCATATACACACACCACCGTTCTGCAATTAAAAAGCAGGAAAAGTATACCCAGGAACATAAAAGGTGTTGCCTTTTTGAGACATTGTTTGCTCCTGTTTAGTTACAGTAGACCTGACATTTCCACACTTTAAACCTCTATGTAAAAACTTTTCTAGTACCAAAAATATAACAATTTTACAGCAACAAAAGGAGTTATTTTAATTATCACTTGTTCTCTACAATCTCATTCAAATGCTCAAAAGCATAAATGCCAGAACTTGTGGCAAGATTTGTCTTCCTAAGAAAAACAGTTTTTTTCTTCTTTTAAATTAAAACACACACACACAATATAGTAGTTGTGGAAAAACTTCTGAAAAATTGTAGGCTACTGAAAATTCAGAAAACCAAGGAAAAGGAGATGTAAGTAAGGACTTCCAGAGATCAGGATTGCCTTGAACTTTATATATATCTACCCCAACTCATCAGGGGAGATTGATATACATCAAAATTATTTACAGTGCCATCTAAGAAGATCAGTGATTACATTCCGGAGGCTTACTCCCAGGAAAGTGTTATTAGAATTGCATTGTTAAACCACCAAGACTAGCAGGTAAAATAAAGAAATCAGTAAGAACTGGAATTCCAATCAGCACCTACCTACAAATTTTAAATTTATTTAATTTATTTATTGATTTAAATTTTAAACTTCAAATATTATTTAGACAATTCCTAATAAATCTGTATACTAATTTGGTATTTATTTATTTAGGTTTGTATACTACTCTCCCTGCAAGTGGGTTGAAGGCGGTTCACAACAGATTCATATAAAGCACAGAAAATCTATTAAATAATTTAAAATACAATTCTAAAACTCAAAAACCAGTACTAATGCATAGGGTACACTATGCATTTCTTCAGTGATTAACTTAATATTTTTTGCATTTTAGTAAGCAATATAGCTTTTAAAAGACAACTTAATGCTCATTTTCCCAGATGTGGCGACATACACAATCTTTAGCCATGACAGATTTTTGTAGGTAGGTGCTGATTGGAATTCCAGTTCTTACTGATCCTTTATTTTACCTGCTAGTCTTCCTTTTCCCTGCCCCATCCAACTAAAAGCAACTAACCTTAGCCAGAGGAAAGGGCTGCTGGTGCTAGCCAAATAAAGAGTAAGAAAATCCACCTGTGGATGGCCATGGTAGTGCTTGTCCTTGGGGCCCACTGTGAAGCATAATATAAGCACATAAACTGTTGCAGTGTATAAGATGAAAATATGTTCTGCACAATTCCTTCTTTACCAATAAAAACAGCTTCTTATTAATTCCTAATATAGTGACAAGTTCTGTTTTAAATTATTATACATTTCCATTACGTTCAGATGTCATATGAAACTAGGTTTTTACAAAATTATTGTATCTGAAACTTTTTAAAGTTATGGATTTTATCTACTGTTTCCCGTAGCATATATTCCTGTTTCCATATTCCTGCCTGCTTCCATCAAGCTATTCCTTCTGCTGTCATGAAAGGTTATATAAATATATGTAAATCTGTATTGATTTACATAATTCTGGATATACAGTGTGGATTTCCTGAATGCTAAATTGGCCTCTTTAAAAAGCATAATTTATTTTAGAAAATTTACGTCATGCTTCTGTGTTATGACATAAAATACGAGCAGCATAAACAATAACCTCCAAACAGAAAAGGAAAACAATTAAAATAATCTAACTAATTAATATAGTGAGCAAGAAATGGTAACAAAAAGAGCAGTTTAAAAAAATCACTAAATTTAGCCATTTGTCATTATCAATTAAAGCCCAGATGAAAAAATTGACAAAGCAGATCAAGGAATAGAACCATTAAAAAGATGTGAATGTAGCCTAGAGGGACTGTGGCAGAAGTCTGTGGGGAAACTGCTTTCTGATGTCTGCTCATGGCTACAGCCTCTGTTGTTTATTGGGAATACCTTCAATGTGCATGCCACTTTAACAAAGAAGACAGTTCCTTGCCTCAAGGAGCTCAGATTTGGGAGGGAGATAGGGGCAGAGATAGAAGAAAAATATCCATTCATTTTACAAGGCCTATTCCTGTGTACATGAGAAAAGTCCTGCTGCCTCAGGCATTTAGGTTTTGCTTAGCTGTCATACCCCTTCATGGGTTATTTTTTTAAAAAGCCATTGAAGCTAGTGGCCATTACAATGGCTTGTGGCAGATAATTTAATTAATTATGCACAATCTATTAAATCTGTACTGTGTCCAGAATTTCATGGGACAATCCAGTGCCTCTGTGCCTTTTGCTTCCCCATATCCTTTGTCCTTCTGGCACAGCAGCTTATGAGTCAGGATTCTCTTGCAGGATGAATGTCTCCAACAACTGCCTACTCATTTTTCTGTCTTGTGCCAAGGAGCTCTGTTTGGTTCCTTTGTGTTGTATGAGGACTGAAAGAGAAATTCAGGAACTCTTAACGGAAGATATCAGTTGGAATTCTTTTCTGTCTCTTGCATCACAAATGCCATTCTTCTTGCCACTAAGCAAAAGACTGAAAGATGTGAATTTTTAATGGCTTCCTTTTGTGTATGCAGTCTATTACTCAACTGCATACAGTAATTGGGCCTGATGATGAAAGCCCGTGAACGGTAGAAGAGGTGTTTAATCTTAGTGAGCTCCTGCTGTTGCTGAACACCTGTATAAATATTAATAATAACTTTTGAAATGCCTTAATTTAAAATCCTTAAGAGAGAGAGACACAAATTTCCCTGGTTTTTTCTTTCAAAAGAAACAAAAATGATCATATCTTCTATTCCTGGACAGATTTAATTACCTCTGTGTCCATAGTAATAACACCAGTATTCTATTTGTCAGGATCAGAGTGACAGTAGATGGGGAATTTCTGCATTATATTTTCCCACTTCAGTTTCTGGATTCTCCTGAATGGGATTCCCTAAGACCTACTGAAGAAGGCATTTTTCAGGTAAGAGAGACTGTTGCATGGTTTGCATATTTCTTTGAAATGAACACCTTCCCAGAATTTCAGACACTGAGGTTCTTTGAGCATTGCTTAACTAGGCAGGGAGGTGGGGAGAAAACCTGTATCCTTCGAGGGCTATTTTAGCAAGGGTCATTTAAGAAAACTCTAATGCTGTAGTTCCTTCAAATGACTGCACAGAGTTACACTGGACTGAAACCTTTGAGGGACCTATAAAATTAGATACAAATAGGGCTGCCAAGTCTCGTTGAATCATGGCGGGGGATCGTCATTCTTCACAGGAGCTCTGCCGCAGGGGACGGCAACAGGCATTGCACCGCCGTCGCCAGGATGTGATGCTACACGTTGCTCTGGCAACGGGACTCCAAACAGCCCTGTTGCCAGAGCGACGTGTAGCGTCACATCCTGGCGACGGCGGTGCAACGCCTGTTGCCGTCCCCCGCGGCAGAGCTCCTGTGAAGAATGACAATCCCCCACCGCGATTCAACGAGACTTGGCAGCCCTAGATACAAACCATTACTTCTGGCTCCTTTCCTGTTTCACTCCAAGTGTTTCCCCCCTCTTGTTTCCTTTTACACACAGCTGCTGAAATTACTGATGCACACAGGGAGAACCCTCAGTCTGAGGTTGCTGTAAAAATCAGGCTGAGTCCTAAAATGGCTTCTGGTGCTGATTTATGGAGTTCTGTCAGCAATGGGTTTCTGTACCAATAGAACAAAGGGAAAAGATCAAAGTTCCCCTGTGACAGACTGCACTTTTAAAAGCTTGGATGTGCTATGTAAGCAGCTGAAGGACTGTTAAGGGTTAATTCTTCACAGAAACAGAGGGACTTTAGTAACAAGCTACTCCAAGCAATCTGATTGGTTAGCATCAGCTGAGCAGAGAAAGGAGAGAGCTGCCTGCTAAGGAGAGATTCAGTCATTTTCTGCCTTGAGTGAGTTGAGTACTGACAGTCTGATTTCAGCCTTTGCTGAGAGCAGTTTAACACAGACAGGAGAACTGGGGGGAAAGTTGGCAAGGAAGTTTGGGAAGTAGGCGAAGACTCCCATTTGGGCCAAGGAAAAGGGATAGATCTTCTAGATAGAGACTCCCATTTGGGCCAAGGAAAAGGGATAGATTTTCTAGATAGAGAAGAAAATTCCCTACCCAGTCAAACTAGGAGGAGTACAGAGATCCCTGCTCTGGTATGTTAGAAACTGCCTTTGGAGACCTTAAGAGTCATTTAAAAACTCAAGACAAGTACTGGTGTTTCAAGAGAAGGAGTCTAGGTACTGGGGAAAGTGTACCGGCCTTCTGGAAACTGAAAGAAAATACTCAAAGAAAGTGTACTGAAGTGTTTGGGAAAAAACACTGGAACAAAAGCCTCTCAACATAAAGTTTATTAACCCTCAGTAGCTTAAGATAGTCACATTAGCCTGAAACATAATAACTAAGGTCTGTACAAGTACTGGTTTTACCTCAGAAATTTTACCACTGAATTCACCTGACCTTTCCCCTCTATGTTGAATAAAATATTTTGTTAATTTGGAGTATAAAAACTTCTTGAGTGCCATTTTCAGTGGTTTAAGTTTAAGGGGGCTCTCGATTCTTCCCTCAGGTTCCTGGGCTGAGCCAACAGCCAAAATGTTGCATTGTGACAGGGTGGGACAGCCACAGGATGGCTTAGTCAGTAATAATGAAAGACAAATGGAGGAAATATCTTGCCTCTGAGGGAGGGAAGTGGATGGGGCCATCATACCCCCCCACCCATCCTTTAATTTATTAAATTTTGTTGTTGTATTCTACAGCTGATTCTACAGCTGATTTCTCCAAGAGGTCTTGTATTCCATAGTCAGATACCCTCTTTTTTGTTGAAGAAACAAACAAAGAAACAAAAATGTTTTGTTTCTAGAACTTTGAAAGCTTTGAATTTCATTCCGTCTGCCAGGCACTCTCTCAGCCTAACCTACCTCATGGTGGTTTTGTGGGGATAAAGTGGAGGAATCATAGAGTTGGAAGGGATCTCCAGGGTCATCTAGTCCAACCCCCTGCACAATGCAGGAAATTCACAAATACTCCCAGTGGCCCCTGTTCCATGCCCAGAAAACGACAAAAAACCCCTCCAGGATCTCCAGCCAAATTGGCCTGGGGAAAAATTGCTTCCTGACCCCAAAGTGGCAATCAGCATTTCCCTGGGCGTGTAAGAAAGGGCCACAAGAACTAAGCACGAATGCAACCTTTCCTGCCCCCCCTCCTGCCTAAGTTCGCAGAATCAACATCGCTATAGAATCATTGAAATCACAGAGGAGGGGAGAATGATGTGGTGAGTGAGCTACCCTGGAGAGCAAAGCAATCTATAAATATGCAAATAAATTAAAATACAACACATGGCTTTGAAGGTACACAAGAAGAACTGTAGTCTAGCACTGAGATGTTTTTAAAAGAACCAAGTTTTTGCTGAGTTGTCATGAGACATAGATTCCTGTTAGCAAACAGGGCATTGTGCATACAGGTGTATTGGAGTAGAAGTGTGTCCCTGCTGATATGGGAATGGGGGGATTTTCAAAATAAGCACATTGTGAGGTTTTTGGGCGAAAAAATATGGTCTTTTTTAAAAAAAATATGGAGCTATTAGGCTGTGTATTTGCAGTTTATGTAAGCTGCCCTGAACCATAAGGAAAGGCGGTATATAAATGTTTCAATAAATAAATAATAAAATAAATGAAAGTTGCAGTATTCTTAGGTATTTTTGTTAGCTTCTTTTGAAAGCAATTTGGTGGTGCTAGATTGTGTCTGCACTCAGGTGCATATCCAATTTACACATGTGCAGATTTCCTTAGTTGGATCAGAGAGAGGAAAACCACTTACCCCCATGGCTCACGGAGAGCCACATTTGGAATTACCATCAACCAAAAAAGCCACATTTACATCCATCCCTGGCCTGAGGCCTGCATTTCAGGGAGCCTCACAGCTTACCAGTTCCTCTAGCAATACTGTTTTGAGGTGGAACCCACCTGCCAACCACAATCCCCACTGGACAAAGGTCTTTTCCACTTTTCCTGAAACATGGGTCAGGTGCCACATTGGGGAATAGTGGTCAGAAGAATATGTGGCTCCCAAGCCATGGAGTGAGTATCATTGCTATGTGCAAATCATTTTTTAAAATAACTCAGATTTATGAAATATGAACACAAGACCAAATTTTAGTCATCTTTCCCCCCCTTTAATGTGTCTTCCAGGTAACCCTCACAGCAGAAACAGACTGTCGATATGTGGCATGGAGAAGAAAAAAATTATATTTGCTCTTTGCTAAGCACCGATTCATCTCACGCCTGTTTTCAATTCTAGTTGGAAGTGACATTGCTGATAAGCTATATGCTTTGAATGACAGAGTAAGCCTAGGGAAAGGCTTTCGATATGACATCCGCTTACCTAACTTCTATCACGTTTCTGTTCCAGAGACTCCCCAAAAGCAGCTTGAAGCTCAGCTTCAGAACAATTCAAGGCAAATATCAACAAATGTTATCAACTGCAACTCTTCTACAAAATAACAGTGTTTTTGCCTTTGTTGATTCCAGAATTAAGTGCAGAAAGATATGAAGCTGACGCCATGAAAATCAATCTGAAGAGTTTGTTAAAAAAACACTTTAAAATAAAAGAGCAAATTCTTTTTCTAGCAGGAAAAAAAGCCAAGCTTCTTTCACTGTGTTCAGAAACAGTGGGTTGCCCATCATGATTGATTGTTCATCATGATGCATTTCCATTGACTCCCTTCTGCTCAACTTATTGTTTTGGGTAGGGAGCGGAGGTGAGATGAATCATTACCACATAAAGCTTTATTGTAATTGTGTTGCCGTCTGTATTATGTGTGCGTGTATGTGTGTGTTAAGCTATTTTTCACAGAGCTCTCCATTTTTATTGAGGCTTCCTTGTCATGAATTATGCAGGTGTTTAACAGAAAATCAAAAGGAAAACTATCCTTAATCTTGATTCCCTTGTTATTTCATAATCACAGTGCATAAATTTTGTCAGCAGTGTCTTATAGAAAATGGCACTTAAACCAGGAAACGTCACAATCTGCAAAGTGTGGAGAAAGAAAGTGAACAATTTGTCTCTTGCATACATTTATGAAATGCTGACTTGAGATTTCTTTCAGGCCGTAGCAGCAGGACAGTACATGGAAACGTAAAACACTAGTGTGATTGCTTCAACTTCACAGAATGTACCAATCACCTTTATTGCTGCACCATATGTAACAGAAAATAATTGTTTAGCAGTTCGAACAAAGTAGGGTAGCAATAATTGAGCTGGAGATAAATGACATCTTTTAAGAGAGTTGAAGGTAGTCTGAATGAAGGATTATTGACTATGATTTCTGTTTTTACCATCATCTCTCCTGCCGTATTGCTGTGTCTGGATCAAACAGGTTTTGCAGCTTTCCAAGCACCACACACAGAGAGACACACACACTGACATATCTGGGTCCCAGTTCTATTATTCTGGTGTTAGGTGGAGCCACTTGAGAAAAATGATGGTGGTAGGATTGTTTGAATTCTTCAGCTTGGAAGTATTGCTGAAGAGCTGAGCAAAATATTGAAGTACTTGTGCTGGAATGCTTGCAGTCATTTCAGTTCAAGATACCAATTTTCCAGATTAATTATTTTGTGGAAACTGGAGATCAAGATCTGGACAGTTTATTTTATTTGCTTAATTTATATCCCATCCTGCTCCCCAATGGGGACTCATAGTTGTTTACGTCATTCTCTTCTCTGTCCTCATGGCAACCCTGTGAAGGAGCATAGGTTGAGACCCTGTGACTAGCCCAACATCACCCAGCAAACTTCCATGGCAGAGTGGGAATTTGAACCTCGGGCTCCCAGATCCTGGACCAGCACTTTAGCTATTACACTGCACTGACTTCCACTTTTTAAAAAATCCACTGCAAAAGCAAATGTGTAGCAGTCTATCATTAGAGGCACCTTTGAGAAAGTTTGAGCAAGGTTAACAGAGCTTGTCTAGAAAGTTGAAGAGCTTTTGGCTCATGTCAAGCTGCACTGTCTTCCTTTTAATCCGTTTTTGTAAGGGATGGGCAGGCAAGAGGCTTCTACTCCAATTTGTGGACTCAAAAAGAGTCGCAGTGTGTAGAGCTGCCTTTTTCTGCCTTACTCTGTTGTGGACAACTTTTTTCCAGTTTACCTACCCTCACCTTCAGTTGTTGCTCAACATACAGACAGAAGTTCCTGTATAGCTATCTATACAAACAAGGTAGGTACAACATGGTGTAGATGATGGGTATGTCTGATACAGTTAGAAATAGCTATCTTCAGTCAGGCCTACAAGACACACACATCAAACATAACTAGATCCAGCAAACTAGGTATACCTATATGTTAAGGCTTCTAGTGGGATTTTTTTTTTTACTCTGAACAGAATTACCTTATTGCCATGTCCCAGTCAGCTTGTCTTCAGTTTTAAAACTGCATATGTTGGACAATAGAAATGTAACTGGGGAAGCTCCAAGTCCGTAGCACTCTTCCCTTTTATTTATTTCAATATTTGTACCCTACATTTCTCCCTGAAGGGAGCCAAAGTGGATTACAATGATAAAAATAATTACTAGCAGAACAACACTGGATTCGGTGGCTGGCTTATCCAAAGGCAGAGGCTGTGAGCCTTAAGCCAGCAGCCCTTTGGCTGTTGCCCTTCAGCTCATACCTGTGGCTATGCCCAAGCATTAATTAGGACCTGCAACAGGAAGGAGAGAGCAAATACTTGTCAAGGTGTTACAGTTGGCAAAGATACTTCACCCAATCTCTCCATTGGGCATGCTGAGCTAATTGCACAGTTCTTTGGAACCTGGTCAATGTTTGTATAATAGGTACATTTTTATTTATAACGTTTTTATATAATAAAGTTAAAGAGAAAATAATAAAATAGAGTTTATAATAATGAAAACAGAAACAACTTTGTAAACATCAGTTCTGCCTAAAACAACTTAATCTCATCAGTGCTGCTACTGGATAATATCTCACAGATATTGCTGTTCAGTTAATTTGTGTTTAGAAAAAGACGAGCATAGGTTTTCCTGAATTTGGCCTGTCTATGTCAAAAAGAATAACTCCATTATTTTCTTATCTCTGTATAATAATCCTCGTCGTATATTGGCCGTTTCCAGCTTTCCCATTGGCTGTGCAATGCGCTCCATCAGCCATTGGCCTGTCAGCTGCCACTCAAGAGTACTCGTGTGCCATTGGCTGGGTGCTGAGTCTGCTTTTCTTCCCTGCCCACTCCCACTTCAGCCACTGTTCCCTGTTAGAATAACTAGCAAACGGCTGTCTCTCCCGATGAAGACTTGGCTCCTCTGTGGGACTAACTTTTCCCTCAGTGATGTTGGTAGGCAACCAAGCTTGGTTCTGTCAGTAAAAAGACAAAGGAAGGAAACCCTTTCCAGGCCTTTGTGAGGAGCTCATTGGGGCCAGTCCTGACCTGTTGCCAGGTCCAGGTTGGAAAATTCCTGGATATTCTGTGTCTAAGGAAGGCAGTTTAAGGAAGTCAGAGTTTGGGGAGGGGAGAGGCCTCAGCTGAACAGAATGCCATAGAGCCCACCCTCCAAAGCAGTTGTTTTTCTCCCGGGGGGGGGGAGATCTGTTGACTGGAGTTCAGTTGTGATTCCTGGCGATCTTCAGGCTCCACCTGGAGGTTGGCTACCCTAGGCATAGCAGCACTTCAGAGCAGGGTCAGCCAGACTCAGGTTCTTGCTGTGGAAGCTGTGATTTCAGACCAGTCACAGACTTTCAGCGTAACCCTGTCCCCTGCCCACTTTCAGCTTGGCCACTTTCCTGTCTGAATAAACTGTGAAAACGGCTCTCTCCTGCTTATCTCTGCCATGGCTGGCTGGCTACTGAGGTGGGCCAGCAGCTGTCCAACCATTCTCTTTAACCCCCTACTGTGCAGCTGACTTTCCCCTAGTGTTGCCAATCTCCAGGTGGGACCTGGAGATCTCCCGCTGTTACAATTGATCTCCAGATGACAGAGATCAGTTCCCCTGGAGAAAATGGCTGCTTTGGAGGGTAGACCCTATGGCATTATACCCTGCTGAGTCCTTCCCCTCTCCAAATGCTGCCCTCCACAGGATCCACCCCCCCAAACCTCCAGGTATTTCCCTACTCAGAGCTGGCAACCCTACTTTCCCCTCAGTGCCTGTTGCTAGGCAACCAAGCTTGGTTCTGTCAGTAAAATAGGGTTGTTGTGCAAGTCAAAAGGGGGAGAGGAGAATGATGTAAGCTCCTTTGGTCCCCATTGCAGAGAATAACTACTTTTCCTAATGGGGAACTATTGTTGCCAATCTCCAGGTGGGGGCTGGAGATCACTCAGAATTACAACTGCTCTCGACTTCTGGTTTATGGCGACACACTGGCAGACGCATCTCCTGGACCTCCTGGGGATGTGATCTGCGCACCAGCGGAAAGGAGGGGGGCGATGGGTTACTCCCCCCCCGGAACCTTGGCAAAAGGCTCCTAGCCATGGGGCTTTTGAGGGGTGACCTCTTCACCAACGCGATGCTGGGGAATTGAGGCGCTCCTCCACCCCGACGGTCCTGCCACTGAGTGTCCATATGGATCTAGAGCCGCTGACTGGGACAAGCATCGGAGATCGAGCATTTTGAACGTGTGCTGAGCGAGGTTGTATAACC